TATCTATCTATCTATCTATCTATCTATCTATCTATCTATCTATCTATCTATCTATCTATCTGTTTTGTTGAATTTCTCTGTGTAACAAGCTCTGGCTGTCCTGGACTTGCTTTGTCCTGGATCAGGCTGGCCTCAAGTTCACAGAGATCCTCCTGCCTCTGCCTCCCAAGTACTGCGATTAAAGGCGTGCGCCACCATGTTTGGCACAACACTAGAATCATTTATTCTTCCATTCAATGATATGTTCCCCAGCTCAGTGAATGGTACTTGGCGTCATCTTGCTAGCCCTAGATCCTTCACTCTGGGTCTGATATATTTCAGTGCTCTCGGTTAGTATAACCAATGTTGACCCCTTGTGGACATTTTCTACAGACTGCTCACCCCCTCTCTCAGTGTAGGGAGCCAGGATTTCCCGCTGGAAACTTACTTGGCTTCGGGGTCATACTCGGCCCATATTCTCTTGAATTCATCCAGGTGATGGGGACCAAGGATTGACCAATCCCTTGTCAGGTAGTCAAAGTTGTCCATGATAACAGCTACGAAGAGGTTGATGATCTGCAGGGATCGATAAGTTGGTATGATAAGGCGCTTGTCAAGGCCCTTCCACATTTGCTGCCAAAGCCCACGTCAGTAGCCAGTGCCCTGGCCAGCTGGACGCCAACATTTCTACGTATCAGCAATATGCTAGCATTTATGATGCCAGCTGCTAGAATTTGGGTCCCTTGGCCCAAATTCTGTTCCCTTGAGCTTTGCGAGGCATGAACCCTACATGTAGACAGAACAGCTTCCTTTTTACCAAGTTGCCAGGGACAGAGAGGGGCCCTGTCTGGTCGTCTTTCCCTCACTCTTGAGCACGGTCTCCGAGACATGCAAGTTCATGATGCTTTTCCACACATCTCTGTCTTCTAGAACAATGCTACCATGACAAGAGGGACGAGTGGACAAGGAGTCTAGCTGAAGTGTTCTGGGCCAAGGCTTCTAGCCCTTCTTAGGGGTGAGACATGTCTACTAACTCAGTCTTCCCAGGACAGCTCTTTTGCTAAGATTGCCCTGACCCCACACTGCCCCAAAGCTGTGCCCATCTCTGTGCCATTGAGTCCCCCTTGAGCTTACCAGGAAGGCACAGAGCATGTAGAAGCTGATGAAGTAGAAGACGGCAAAGCTGCTGCCACAGGGGGTCTCCCCTTCTGTGCTGTTGCTGGGCTCAGACTCTGGGGCACACTTCTTGCCTGGCATACAGGCCAGCATGATATCCTGCCAGGCCTCCCCAGTGGCACACCTACACAAGAGAGGAGAGAGAGTCCAACCTCAGCTGGCCCTGCTTGCCCACGCAGGCAAGGCTCCCGCTTAGGCCTTGCTTAGGGATTTGCTGAAAGGAACTGAGCATCTGGTTTTCATTGACCATCATGTTCATTCAATGTGGAAATATGAACCGCTGTCTTGAATGTCTTAAAACTTTAGACACACAGTTAAGTTTTTGAAAAACTTGTTCTTTCATCTGTGTGAACTTTTTAGATGCAGCTATGTAGGCCTATTTTAGCCGTAGTTCATTTTCACTGCTACACAGGAATACCTGCCATGAATACATTAAAAAAAAAAAAATCTGCCCTTGTTAAGGGAGTGGGTTTTTCAGAAAAGTTATTGTTGCTGTCACGGTTAACAGTGCAGCAAGCATGCAGGTCCATGTCTTGTAGAGCTACCAGGTGGAGACAGTGCCTATCTTCATTTTCACCAGGTAGCACTTGTCTGGCTTGGACTAGTGTCATTGCAGACACATCAGCTCTTGGTGGTAGAGAATTTTAAAGAATGTCCCTCAGAGGACTGTGTGGAATGACATCTTACAGCTATTTATTTCAATTTGGCTTTTCTAGGCCACCCTGGCCTACACGCGGCCCCGTCTGGAAAAATAAATAAAACAAATACCTTTCTAAAACAATTGGCTTTAAAATGATTAGTAGGTTGAGGGTTTTTATTTTTGCCTCCTCTTGACTGCGTGTTCAGAGTTTCGCTCATTTGGCTCCTGGGCTATGTATATTCGTGTTCATTCTAGGGGTCCTTGGTATTCTCACAATAATTTCTTTGTAAGTTACATGCACTAAAATGTCTCCTTCTAGTATACGGCTTGTCTCTCACTTTATTTATTTTAACTGTAATACATTCAACTGAGCCATCGCCCCAGCCCATCTTCCTCACACTGTTGCACCGGATAGAACTTTCAACAAAATACTCACGACAACGGTGATAGCACAGCATCTTGTCTATTGTATCTGCTAACTGGTTATGTCACTGGTGATATTCTTGGCGGCCCTCCCACCTCACTGGCCCTACCCATTCTTGTAATGTTGACTTGCTTGCATCTTCTGCACTTGGATCAGCCTTCGTCTTCAAATGGCAGCACCCCACAATTTAGTGTGTATGACTTCTTGCTTCTGTTTTTAAAAATCGGTACTGGTTCATCTTCTAGGCTGAGTAGGGAGCTTCCTGCCTCTTTCTGTGACTGAGAGTTTGTGTGACTAGGAATGATTTATTCCTCGATCGCTGATGAAAACACAGCAGCGTGGGCCTTGCAAAAAGGCTGTGATTTTGACAACCTTTTCAATGTCTATTGTAGCTAATGCTGCTCATTTATTGAGAGCATTTCAGCGTTAGCATTAGCACTAATCTGCACCTTGCAGGGAAAGCTGCTCCCCCTGATAAGTTTGAACTAAATGGCCGTGCTCATGTTGATTAATGTGATTAGTGGCAGTCCAGAAAACTAAACTCGTGGAAATATTTTTCAAAAAATAATTTGTTCTCTAAATTTGTAGTTTCTGAATTTATCAATGCTTTTCCGGTTAATATTTTATTTTTTTCTTAAGGAAAAAAAAACCCTATCAAGATTAATTTATTGCTGCCCAAATATTCTGTGCACCAAGTAATATGTGCAAAGATGTCTTTCTTAATAAAAATTTTGTACTTCATATTTTCCTAGATAAAAGCAGGCCCTTCGGCTGGGCGTGGTGGCACAAACATTTAATCCCAGCACTCCGGAGACAGAGGCAGAGGTAGGTGGATCTCTGTATGTTTGAGGCCAGCCTGATTTACACAGTGAGTTCCATGCCAGGCAGGGATAGGTAGATGATGATGATGATGATGATGATGATGATGATGATGATGATGATGATGATGATAATGATGATAAGCACCTACTATATTTAGATCTCCAAACAGAATGATATAAATTAGTTCGTAGTACTTCCTTTCTGTTTTCGTTGTTGAACTTTTTGTTATTATTGTTTGTTTGCTTTTTAAATGTCTTCGCTTATTTTGAAAATTCTCGTTTTGACTGGCTTTGGTCAGCAGTAGTGAATGATGGATGGTCTCAGGGAGACTAACTATTACTTGGCAGCTGATTCGTGGCTTACTTGGCCTTATTCACATTTAGTGCATCTTGGCCTCTTGCCAGTTTTTTTTTTTTGTTGTTGTTGTTGTTTGTTTTGTATATTATTTTTGCACAGAGCAACATGCCAGTGTTTGTGTCACAGGACACCTGAGGGAGGCTGGATTTGGAGTGCTGTGTGTTCTGGTCCTGTGTATCTTATATTCTGCATATGTGGACCTTTTCACAAAACATATAAATATAATCTATAAGGGATTGAAATGTCTGTGGGTCTTGCCAGCTTTGGGGGACCCAGGCAATGAGAAATGCTGGCAGTGGACACAAGGAATATCCTTGTGCACAAATCCCTTCCAACTCCCAAACCACCAAATGCAAAGATACAAGGCAGCCTGCGGTAAGGTTTGCATAGCTTCTCTCCAGGACACATTGGTCCCTAACAGGAGGGTCCACTCCTCAGTGCAGAAACACAGCCTGCTTCTGTATGCCCTTCCTACATTCATTCAGCCCAGAAAGCCTCCCAGCTTCACCCGAGTGCCAGAGGCCACTTCTGTGCCCCACACTTCTTGTAGCAGGTCCAAAGCTTATGTTCGCTGTCCACTTTAAAGGGTTTCTGGCAGCCAGTGGCCAGAAAGGGGTACAGCTTCATCCCTGAAGTCGCCGATTATCTCAGAGATGAAGCAAGAATGAGGCATGGAATTCACCCACCATTCCAACAATCATTTCCACATCCATAATTACCCTACACTTTCATGCTTGGTGTTTGTCCTTTTGTTTTATTAGTGGTTATATTTCATAAATGCATATTTACTTATTGGTATTTTCAAAGCCATCTTCTAAGGACTATTGCTAAAATTTGTTTTGTGTTTTATTTTGGCAATGCACACTTTTGTTTTCACGAGTGAATTCCTTCATAACTTGGGATTATTTTGTTGTTTCACTTGCCCATCTGTTTATTAAATATAATCTCCCAAATAAGGACACTTGGGCTCTCATTTTCTTTGGTGTTGACCAACCCTGTTCCTGCCCCTATTGCTGAGGAGTTGTGCCTTCAAGTTAAGGCTGATTAGTGGAGAGATTTAATATTAATATTTTAAGTGGATATTCTTCAAGGGGCCATTTCAGTGTATAATTTCTAGTTTTGCTGTATTAATGTTGAAGAAGTTTTAGAACTTATTAAGTTTCTTATGACCTAAACTGTGGCTACTTTTGTGGATGTTTCTGAGTGCTCAAATGGAATGTATCTATTTGCCATTTATTGAGGGCAGATCTATAGATGACACCTCTTAATTGTGTTGTTTAGATGGTCTTTTACCTGTGTCAAACTATTATTTTTATGAACTGTATATCCAGTAACTTGATATGTGTTTACTTTCTCCTTGTGTCCTATTATTATATGTATTTCCAAACAATATTGTTAAGCTCATATTGTTTGTAATGATCATATATTATTGGCTTATTAAACTTTTTATTTGTATCAAATACCCCTCTTTGCTCTGTCTAACGCTTCTTACCTGGAATTTTACTTCCACTGATGCTGTGACCGCTGTACATACGTGGTGAGTCCTTCCGGAATTGCCATTTCCCACCTCTATCTTCACTCTCTCTGGGTCATTTTGTTTCACTAATTCTATTACAAATATGCTAGCGCTGGAATCCTTCACACCAACGGTAGAGCATCAATCACTAAAATTTGTAATTATTCATTCAAATGAGTAGGTTTCCCTGTGAAATTTCTCTGTGTGTGTGTCATGCCTGATCTTTATTTAAAAAAAAAATAAAAATTATTCACAGCAAATGCGTGGTGGTCAAAGAACAACCTGCAGGAGTTGGTGTTCCCCTTCTACTCTGTAGTCCTGGGGGCCAAACTTAGCTTGTCAGTCTTGGCAGCAAGGACCTTCACCCACTGAGCCATTTTGCTGGTCCTAATGCTTGTTTTTTAATAGAAACATTCAACAGGCTTATAATTTTAATATCTTTGTATATATTACCTTCTTTCCTTTTATTCTCCTATTTTTATTTATTTAAGTACCACTTTTACCCTTCCTTTTGATAAACCACTGAAGTTTCCTTTGTCTAGGGCCTTGGGTTTGTCAGACGAGCACTGCACACTGAGCTACATACCCACGCTCCTTCCCCTGCTTTGAAATGTACACAATTTCTTTGTATCTGGTTGCTGACTTTCAGTATTAACACATGATTACGTCTATGCTACTTTACTCCTAGGCCTACAACAGAGAGGTCACACAGTGACTCTCAGCTCCTGAGATGGCACATGGCTTATGTTCCTCTTTCTGTTCATGTGCTGGCTTGCACTTCTTGATTTGCATATGGGGGACCACACCTACCTCCCAGGTTTAAATCCCACCTGTACACATTCGGTGTTACTTTTACTGTATTGTTCAATTAAGTCTCCTAGTATTTTGTTGAGGATTTTTTATATTTATGTCAATTAGGGGTATTGTCTATAGTTTCCTTTTTTGTAGTGTCTTTGTATAGCTAGCCTCAAAGCACAAAAACAAACAAAACCAAAAAAATAAAACAACAACAAAACCAGCTTATAAGGATTTCCCTTCAATGTTTTACAGTTTTTGCACGTTAAAAACCTTTAAGTTTTTTTTTTTTGGTCTTTTTAACTGGTGGCATTCTAAAAAGTAATCATAAATAAACAGTTACAGATATTTGGAGATAAGATTGAGAAAGGGTCTTATAACTCAAATGAGCTTAGGCCTCATGGTCCTCCTGCTCCAGCCTTTTGAGTTCTGAGTGCACAGGCATGCACTGGCACTTTTGGTGGGTTAAATATTTGCCTGCTAACCTATTCTGCACTTAGTAGGGCCGTTTACCTCTGAAAGCTTACTTTTTTTTTTTTTTAAATTATTTGATCAGCCCGTTGTTTTACTCTCTTCATTTTGTCTATTAGTCTGGAATTTCTATCAGATGGTGCAATTTTTCTATCTCTATTCTCTCTTTGTCTTAATCTTTATTTTCATTATTTTGCATTGTACTTCAGCCATATAGTAAGTGAACCCCAGTTGATCTTTCAGCTCATCAAAACATTTTTAGTTGTATCCTTTCAACTATACATTGCATCTATTTAAAAAAAAAAGTTAGAAGGGAGGCTGGAGAGATGGCTCAGCGGTTAAGAGTACTGTCTGCTCTTCCAGAGGTTCTGAGTTCAATTCCTAGCAACAGCATGGTGGCTCACAACCATCTATACTGGGATCCGATGTCATCTTCTGGCATGCAGGTCTACATGGAAACAGAGCACTCACATACATAAAATAAATAAATGAATCTTAAAAAAAAACTTACAAAGGAAAATAAAAGCATTTAACATTTGTATTTTCTCTTCCTTCTTTTTTGTTTCGCAATGGCTGCTGCCACTATTTCTTCTAATTTAACAGAAGCCTTATAGTCTTTAGTTACCCTAACAATATGAGTTGCATTTAATGTCAAATAGTTTGGATCTGCTCCTTCCTTTTGTCCTTCCTGTGTGTTTATTTGTGACTTGAGTGTGACACAGACACCTCTTCTCCCTGATGACTTTTGGGCTTATTGTCAGTTGCTCTTTGTGACTGAGAACCCAGCTCTCTGAGTAAAGTCTTCATCATGGAAGCTCTCTGGGGAATAACAGATGTGCTGAGGGGACTGGTGGATAGTTTCTCCCTGAGGGTAGGTTTCCTGAGAGGGAGTGTTCTGCTGGGTCTTTCCAAAGCTCTGGAGTGCGACATTCAATGCTGTTCTCACAGCTGTTGAGCAGAGTAGAGCTTCCCCAGAAAGCAAGTCCCAGAGGATCAGTTCAAATGGTGGCCTGGATCTTGCCTGTCCCTTGCATCTGTAGACGCTCAGCTTGGAGATGACCCAGGTTGCTTGCCCACCCTCCACGGTCTCAGACTGTCTGGAAGCGTGCCAATCTTAAGTCTCATTCTTTTGTGAACTGAACCCCGTCTACTTTCTTCCATTTAGAAGTTCCTCAACACTTCTAGTTCCCCTAGTAGCACTATCTCATCTTTTTCTTTTCCGCCTTTCACAGCATTGGGTGTTTGCTCTTTGAGAAGATATTTTCTGCCATTAAGAAAAACAGGAGAGACCAGCCATGTGGCAGTCTGGGCTCTGCCACCATCTCCCAAATTTAAGTGTGGCATGAGATTGCCATTGTTAAATATCAGCTCACAACAGACAGCTCTGTGTTCTGATGGTGTGTGTCATCTGGGACGCAGTGAGGCCAGGCTGTTATTTAGGGCACCCATCATTTTGATAAATGTATTTTGAGCAGCAACAAACTAGGGCGTGGGACCAGATTCTGTTAGGAAATGGTGGAAGTAGTGTCACCTGGCAGGTTTTCTTTCCCATATGCTCTGGAAAAGGGCCTCAAGGACCTGGCAAGCGTTTGCTTCGGAGACAAGAGAGATAGTTTCACCTACCAGCCTGGGACTAGGTGGAGTCATAGAGTGTGACACCACACAAAGCAGAAAGGTGAGAAAAAGATGGAAGTGGATATGGAGATGATGGCAAGCCAAGGGAGAAAGATGGTTGTATTGAAGACCAACTCAGGGCTGTGTAAGAAAACCACCTTCTCAGCCACACCTGTGGTGGCACATTTCCAAGGAGTAAGGTGTCTAAAGGATGGTTTGGTAAACAGATTGTCGGTGAAGGTCGGTATTTCGCTCAAGGTCAGTGTGTTGAGGCTTGCTTCTACGTGCCTGGTTGGATGCCAAGCCACAGTGCTTTCGTTGTTTAACTTTGACTCCCCAGTGGCTGGGGCAGAGGAAACCCAGGACATGTGCATGGTGCTTTCTGGCTGCACATGGGAAGTTGGTGTAGATGAGACCTCCTGGCCAGGAGGGCAGAAGAGGCCATCCCATTTCTGTTCCCTTGGCTTTTCCAGGGATGGGCTAGCATCTTGTAGGTGTTCGATGTCACCTGAGACCCAGCTGAAGAGCAGTAGTCCTGGAAGTGTGCGTGTGCATGTACTCCCATCACCCGACACCCACCTGAACAGCAGCAGCACGGCCTGGGGGAAAGTCTGGAAGTTGTTGTTCCGATTGATCTCTGTGGTGTCATTCAGGGCGATCTTCCCAAACACCTGGAGAAAGAGGGATTCAGGGACCAGAGAAGGACAGCATGCTCATCTCTAGCCACTGTCTAACAGCCTCTCTGGTCCCAGTAACTCTGGGATGAGCTGGCTAAGCAGTCTATGACGGGACCTAGCAGACACCGGCTGTCCCATGATCCTGGACTCCAGCTCCAGCATGAATAACTTTCGGAGGAAATGTACCCTCAGCTCTCAGGGAAGGCCCCTCAGCTCATGGAAAGCTGGGGCTGGGGGTGGTTAGCGGATGCAGAGATCAATGTAGGAACCAGGGCATTCTCTCCTTTGCACCTCCAGGTACCCAAACACACGGCTGATTCTTGGATTTTGCCATGATATGGAATGGGTGGTTCAGAGCTTGGACAAGCTTAATTCGTTCTGATGTCGGGGCCTACTTGCATTTTTCCCTGGCCCTCTGAAGGTATGTTTATCCAGGAAGCTGCCAAAGCTGTCTCCTTGTATCTGATGTTAAGGCAGCCTCTCCCTCCCTCCCTTCCTGCAGGGAGTTTTAGAGATTTCATACAGGGAGCTGCTAAGGGAAGCTCTCTGTTAGTGTACAGGCTTGGCTGGGGCGGTGCTGCCTTACAGAACCTGGAAAGACTCCTCTGGAGTCCTGAAGGGGTAGGAGAACTCTGGGTGAGGGAACAGAGAAAGTGCAGCAGGCTCCTGGAAGGAGGCTCCAGAAAAGGACTGCATGTATGATAGGCAGAACTTTCTCTTTTCTTCCCGCCTCAAATCAGGCACATCGGATATGGACAAAGCAGAGGATGCTGGTGGGACACGCCCGCTTCCTGCTGTCTCTCGGAAGAGGCTGCTCTCTCCTGAGGCCCACGCCTTGATTTATAAGTGGTTTCCCCACTGCAGAACAGCCCCATCCCGTACTGCCTCGTGCCCCTTACCTATGCCCCATCTTATTGGGGTAAGTTCCAGCTCTTTGGACGTTGAGTGACAGGCAGAAACAAAAGTCAGAAAAGACGGAAGAAAGGGGAAGGACTATGGCTCTTGGGGCTCAGAGGAGACCAAGGAGGCAGAGTTTCTCATACCTGCATTCCAATCACCGCATAGATAAAGAAGAGCATCACAATCAAAAGGGCCACATAGGGCAGGGCCTAGAAGGAAGCACAGAGTGGCCATGAGACCCAGGGGTACAGGCCGGCAGGATCCTTGCCCAGAAAGCATTTCATTCCCAGTTCCACAGCAATCAGCTGTTTGGCTTAGGAGGACTGAGCACCAAGGAGAGAACCTGAGAGCTCTGGCTTCCCAGGAGTCAGTCTATCTATCTATCTATCTATCTATCTATCTATCTATCTATCTATCTATCTATTATCTATCTAATGATCTACCTTTTGGGAATGTAGTTGAGGGCTTTTACCACTGAGCCCTGGTCCCAGTCTACAGTTTGCTTCTAAAAGCAGGCTTCAGAGTAATGGAAGTAGCACTGTGGTGTTTGTTGAGAACAATCAAAGGAGCAGCCCTCCTCAGACTACAGCTAGATATTTGCACAAAGAAGGAGGGGGTGATGGAAGTTACACAACAAGACAACTGTAGTCACCAGGGAAAAGTGTGGAGGAGGCAGCTTATACCCCAGCTTTATCCAATTATTTTTGTAGAAACGAGCAGTCAGCGCTATTGTCATGAAACCATCTAATAAGAAGAAATGTAAAAAAAAAAAAATATCATGGACTCACATCTTATTCCCTCCACTCTCCAGCTCTGGAGCTTGGGCATATGACATAGCTTTTCTGGACCTGTTTCCTGATCTGAATGAGGAGGACTGATAAAGCTTATCTGGCAGGGGGTGTGGCATTAAAATGGTTTAAGGTTTGTGAACTAGGCAATATTTCAACATATACAATATAGACAACACAGTAGCTATTACATTATTGGTTCCACACTTTTTAGTCATTCAGTGTGTCCTGTAAGCAGAGCCATGGCCACTTTCTGGGAGGCACGTGGCTCTCAAAGCCTTTTGTGGGAGCATAGGAACCTGGCTTTCTGGCTTGGGAAATACGTTGCCCACACACCACTAGATGGCACTGAGAGATCGCACAATGTTTTAATAAACGGAGGGCTCTTTGGCTCCCTGAGCAAGTCCCAGTCTTCAAGGTCACCCCAGCCACTCCCTAAGACAAGGAACTGTGGGCGTGTCTCAGGGGCCAAGGCAGGATCAGCCTTCTGTCTTGATTCCATTAGGGCCAAGGATCCAAATCCTTAGAAACTCCCTTCACCTTGACCTGAGAAGCGTCTTGGGTAGGGAGACCCCAGTTCTCATTAGGTGTCAAGGGGCCAGCAGAGTGGTTGGTACATGGCGGGAAGAACACTGGAGCTGTGTGTACCTGGGCTGGACCTCTCCCGTCATCCATCAGAGAGCTTTGTGTGGCATTGTCCCCAGAGCTGAGACTTTGGAAGGGGACTCCAAACAGGGTAGGCAAGGGACCAGAAGGCAACCGTCCTCTAGGTACAATTGCAACTTTGAGCACATCTGGATAGAGACATACTCCGTGCCCTATCTGAGCTCGAACTGTCCAGGGCAGGGAACACAGAGCCCTAGATGCAGGGTCGAGGGCATTCTAAGAGTGGATGTGTGGGGCGAGGGGCTGGCTCTCATGGTGCCTGGGAAGCACAGTTGGAAATTTCTACCATTGTTTCCCAGGAGTTCAAGTGCCCTAACAGCTTCGTTTCTCATGAACTTTACATAAACGAAGCACTCCTCAGAACTGGCCGCACAAGCCCCCTTCTCCAGTAAATTCTTTGGAATGTGTTGGGCCCTCCATTTTGGAATCTCAGGTCTGCTCTCATCCTCAGTCCCTTCAGAACATGGAAAGCCAGGTACTATCACCCTGCTGTCACACACTGACACAGCCATCCCTCGGCCCCTATGCTGGGCTGGGCTGGAGCTGTTTATTTCCTGGTCTGCTCCTGCGGTTGGGGGTGGGGGTGGTGTAAGGGGTAGGGAAAGTGACGGTGGAACACTAGGGCATTCCACTTCCTGGGAGCAGTGGAGTTTGTGTCTCTACCAGCTTTACAAAGGGGCGGGGGTGGCATGGCTACCTGGAATGACTTGATGAATGTCCACAGCAGGGTCCGGATGCCTTCCCCACGGCTCAGCAGCTTCACCAGGCGCATGACCCGGAAGAGGCGGAAGAAGGTGATGGAGATGCGGGAGTTCTCCTCTGCACTCTAGAACCCGTTGGCAATAGGGGGGGGGGTGCAGTTAACACAGCAAGAAGGCGGGGCAGGAGGGGATCCTCTGAGAAACAGCCATTGGTTGAGAGGAGGCAGGCCAGGGTGGGGTCAGCTGCACTAGACTCTTAACTTAGGCCCCAACTCCCCACTTCTGAGGGGAGAGGCCTGTACCTTTCTTTCTAGGTTGGCAGCCCATCCCCAAGGTCTCTGCTAAGACACAGCCTCTATTCCATGACTTTTTCTATCCTCCTCTTTCCCATAATTCCCAGTTTTTCAGATATCACAAGCTTTGGAATCTGGGCCCAGAGCTACTGCCGAAGTGGCCTCTGTCCCCCATGGTGGGAGAAAGCTATCTTCTCAGTTGGGAGTTCTGCCATGTGAGTGAAACTCAGCTCTATCAGGAGACGGGATGGTGTTGTTCCCTCCCAGCTGTCTGAAATTGCCTCTAAGCATGCCCTGCCCACTCAAGTCTCATTTCTCTCTGTCCCCACTTTCTACTTCCCATGGTCCTGTCACAAATAGCTGCTGGGAAATGGTGGTAGTGGCCTGCTGTGTTACTAGGGGACAGCCACAGTCATATGCCTCTGGAGTCATATGCAACTCTGGAGTTGCTGCCCTCTCAGGGCCTCAGAGGCTGTGACCTTCCCTAGAGATCCATAGTCTGGAAGGACTGACGAAACCAGCAAGACAAGGCAGGAGAGGCATCCTGTGCTCTGAGTCCCAGAAAAGGTTGAGCCTGGTACTATGGAGTAGCTGAGGTACCTGCTGCATGGTCTTGGACAGAGAGAAAGAGAGAAAGAGATGGAGGCAGCATTGAGGTTAGGGGAGCTGAAAAGGGATTAGAATTCCCAAGCTGCTGGGAATCTCTGGCCAAAGGTTTGAGACTGGCTTCTTAGTCTGAAGGAGCTTGAAGATACAGACACATGTAGGTCTCTGGGGGAGGGACACAGCTGTCACTTTTTGCCCCCATACCTGAGAACTGACTATATGCTGAGCCCTCCTGCTCGCATGAGCAGCTGGCTGTGTTCCAAAGCTCCGAGAGCTGGTGGGGGCCCTTCCGCCTTCCCTGAAGCTAGTGCAGCCTGCCCAGCCCCGCTGGCAGCCCCACTGGGAGAGAAAGGACCTTAGAATTTCCTGTTACGGTTCCCGTCCCAGGCACCCCTTGAAGGAGGGGTGTTAAGCTGTCCTACCCCATCCTGTCCCTCTTGCTGTACTTGATAGTGTGTCTAGACCAGGCCCCCTCTCTCAGCACCACGCCTACCTGTACCCTGAAATATTCCTTAGTGCTAAACGTCAGGGTTCCATAAATTCCAGTCTTCCTCTACGGCCTTCTGGACCATCCTTCTAGATGGCTTTATCTCAATTCTATCTGGAGGGCTCTATGCAATGAGCTTTAGGAATATTCAAAGGGTAATAGGCTGGACTGACGAGCTATTCAACCTCCAGGTCAATGACCCTCACTCCCAAAGGAGGCAGGATAGTTTGGGGCAGATTTTCCAGATCAGCTCCACCCTCCATAGAGGAGGGCTCTGAAGAAAGCAAGCCAGAGAGTCCTGGTTTTCAGACCCCTCCATATAGGACGAGAGTCAAAACATTTCTTATGTTTTAAAACTGGGGCCGTTCCAATTGCCATGAAGACTCTAGCCCTGCCCGGCAGCAGACAGCCTCATAGGTGCTGGGGATGTGTAAGGCCAGCAATGCTGGTCCTACCCAGGACATCTTTGGCTCCTTTAGCCTCTGCGTCTGTTTGCCTCCCTAAGTTCTATTTTTTGTCCTTAGAAGGAGGTTTGCTCTTCAGAGAAGCGTATAAGGAGCTCAGGTCTTTTTATTATGTGTCAGTTCTACTATGTCCCAGAGGGGGAAAAAAATAACCACAACAAATCAAAACCAAAACCAACAGGACAAGCTGAAGTGGGGGACTTCAGCTGCGGATGTTAATCATTTGTAAAGCTGCTGTCACTGGGACATCTTCTAGGTCTGATGGATTAAAAGACAAAAACATGTCTTAGGCAGCCTTTCTGCCAGGTGGGCTGCACTGGAGATCATTACTACAGCTCTCAATCTGGCCTTTAGGGTTTGGCAAGTCATCAGCCTGGTTTGGAAGGAGTGATGGCGCTTTTAGGGGAAGCCATTCCAAGGAGACGTCATGGTCATGTGGTGAGGTACCTCTACCACTCAGCCCTGTACGCTCCTCCATTGGGAATGGTTTGGTTGGTTTGTTTCCCTAATTCCCATGTGTTACAGAAAGATGACTCTAATGCAAATGTAATGAACTTGGGGAACTTGGAAAGACATAAGACTAAGGCTCAGGGCCACAGTAGAGAGACTGGAGGCCAACCCTCAGGCCATAGCAAATCCCAGCGTGTGCCTCTCACACAGCCTTCCACAGAAAGCTCCGGGGAGTCTGGTCATCACAGAACCGAGTAGGACTGCCTTTGCTTCTAGCTGGACCCCGTCCCCACTTCCGTCTTCTCCCGGGAGCTCTCATCACAGTTCCCAGAAGCATCTTTCACAAATTCCCACCTTAGCTGAGACACAGTCCTTGGGACGTTTAACAGGAAATAGCACGGGCCCAGTTCTCTCCCAGCGGATCATGGTGACTCACCACCCAGAGGAAGCTTGGGGAAGTTGAGGAAAACCACTATACACACACCCTTGCACAGCTCACGTGAGCACAGGCAGGTAAGGCACACAATGGACACGGTGGCCACATGCAATGGGAGCTGGGCTGGGCTCCCAGAGCTCCGGAAGTTGGGGTGGATAAGAAGTGGGTGGCTGGAGGGGGGGCACAGAAGCTGGGAATGTGGTCCGGAGGGTTTTTCTTACCATAGAGGGAGAGCATTGGGTATGTTCAGCTGGCTTTAAAGAAAGGCAGACAGAGATAAGCTGTAATGAGTCTCCAACGAAGAGCCTGGTACTCTAGGTCTTGGCTAACAGAGGAACAACACAGTGGTAGGAAAGGGCATAAGGAAACAAGTGAAAGAAGTACACAAGCGTGGGCCTGGCAGGGTGAGGAACACCAATGAGAGCATGGGCTGTGTGTCACTGGGCCACATGGCCAACAAGGACCCAAAGGTTCTCCTATCCTATTCAGTGACCACCTCTGGCTATGAGTGAAACAACTCAGCCTCAATACAGAGGAGGAAGGGGGGTGTCTTTCAGGTTTGTGGATGGAGCTCAACTTTCATTTTCAGCTAACCTTTTGGGACCCCCCCTCTCTACACTTTGGCCTGCTCTATGAAGTGCGGGCTGAAGGACAAACCCTGGTTTACATGTGTCCATCATTGTCCACACACAGTTAAGCAAAGGCACTTCAGGGTGACAGCCTTTCAGGTTAGAGAAGACTAAATTTTGATTATGACCAGAAGGAGATCTAAGGAGGTGGTCATTGACCCTCACCAGAAAGTACTTTCTCTAAAAGATTAGGCTGGCTGGACAGGACCTTGCCTGGAGCTCAGTTCAGGGCTTTGGCTACTGACATGAAAGTATGTGGACCTGCTTTTTAGTTCTGAAGGCCTTGTACATATTTTGGGATAATGTCAACAGTACCCCAAGAGTTGTTTTCCTAGGCTAGAGTGCTAAACTTGTTTGGTGGCAGGAGCTCACAGGAGCACATCTTGGCCCTTCCTCTCCTAATTTCCCTAGGGAGATACCCCAACCCTGGGCTCTTGCTACAGCAATCATCCCTGACTGATTTACCCATTGGTGCTGTGGCCTAGGCCTGCACCTTCAGATGAAACAAGTAACGGGATTTTTGAAGGAAAGAACTGTTCATAGTTAGATATTTTCTTGAAGTCTGAAAACACTTCTTGGTGACATATTTCTTAGCAATTGATTTTTTAAAAAAAAAACATTCCCATAGAGAGTTGGTTTTGATTGTTTAGGGAGTGGGAGAGAGCGAGCAGTGGAAGAGGAGAGTAGGGCCTTCCTTCTCTAGTCATTGTAGTACACAGTCTATATGAGCTTCTGTTCTGATTGCCAGCTGCCTGGTCAGTCTGCATGTCTGGAGGGAATGGGTCAGTAGGATTTGGCTACTGGGTTGATACAAAACTCATCAGATGAACAGACATACACATACACAAACAGACACACACACTCTCACACACACAGACATGCACACTCAAATGCTCATTACATTTCTTCTCTAAGCACCCAAGCCCCTCTTCCACTGGCATGAGACAGCTGCCATGATGTGTAAGCCTCTGTTTCTTAGTGTACGTTTTCATCCCATCCGCACCCCAACCCTGGTTGGTCCAGGGCCTTTACTCTTGGATTACTAGATAAGAGTTCCATGTCTCTGGGGACTCAGCAGTGGAATGGGAGAGCCACATGGAGGCAAATCTTCTCTGTGGACATGTCAGGGGTTCTGTTGTGAGGTTGTTCTGGGTTGTTGCTTTGCTCCTAGGTTCATCATAATGTCACCACAGCTCCCTATCATTTCCAAGGACCTTAGATAAGCAATTAAAGAACTTCTGGCTCAATCTCATCTTAAATAAGACCAAAAATGGAGGCAATTTAGAAAATTCACCAGCTCAGCTGGCTCCATGAAATCAGCCTCTAGTCATCACAAAGAAATAAAGTGTTTTTATTTTACCACTTGAACACTGGGGACCCCCTCAGCAGAGGGCTTTGAAGATTCATTCACCGTGGTCATCTTCTCTCCTGATGCTTTTTAACTGAGCCTTTTGTTGCCTACATTAAGATATCATCTACTTATGTTATATTTTACTTCAAAATTTAGGCTTAGGTTTGATACTTCTTTGGTCCTTTGTTGTTTTAGTATCATGTCCTGACTTCATAGTCCTTAGGTCTTGTCTTCATAGCAGGAGACAATATTTCAGAGCAGCTTGGGATGAGGGCTCTCTGACACCTATGTCTTAGGCTCCCCAGCCCAGGTAATGACAACTTTGCAAAGAAAGCCGAGAAACTCCTGGGCTAAGTATTTTTTGAGCCTTAAATCCACACTACCCAAGAAGCTTTTGTTTGGCTGAGGTAGTGTCGTCTTAGCAATTCCTCACACACTGTGCTCACATGGTCTCAGAAACCCAATTCACAACAGAGTCAGGACATAATTACCCAGTGAGCTCTGTGTGAGAAGAAGCCTGGGCAGGGCAGATGGTGTTTCATAGACAACCTCGTGTGATCATCCAGGTCTTTAGTGTTTTCCTAGCTACAATGAAAACTCTTTGGTGTGCTATACGGGGGAGGGGGAGCTGGAGCTATTGATATTGGATGTCCAAGGTGTCCCAAGCTATGCTGTTTAAGCCCATGGTCTTGTCTGCCTTGTTTGCTGCTTTGTGAGTCCCTCACATTTGTGGGGATGGACACACAGCAAGCAGAAGTCTCCATGCCCAGGCCTTCCTCTACTGTAGGAAGGAAATGGAATTTGGGAAGGAGCCAACAGGCTTCATCATCAGGGACCCACTAGGAAGCCATTGGTAACTGGAAGTCATGCCTGTGGCCTTGGGGTGGAAAGATGCTGCTGGAGAAAGGCAGCACCAGGGATGGTGGAGAGGGGGACCTGGAAATAGCATTGTAACTCATCCTTTCCTGAAACTGACCCAGCCCTCCTAGCCTGTACTCTACCCCTGTGTCCTTTTTCTCTTGTCTCTCCTTGTCTCTCACCCCTGTTGATTTGGCCAGTGGATGTGGTGTGCATTCCATCTCTGTTCCTGCTCTCCCTCGAGTCTCTCTCCTACCCCTGCATCTGTGCCCCTGCATCACACAAATGCTCTGTGTGAACCTTCCAAGGGTATCCAGCATTGCTTGGCTTAGCATCAGTACAGGGAAGTTGGTAACAGTTCTGTGTAGGTCGGTGGCGGGAAGGCACCAGAGGAGGGCCTTACAGTGACAGAAGCCACAAACCCCTACTTTTAGTGACGCTACGCTGACACCATCTCAGTGCATGGCTGCAGCTCTGTGGGAGTGGAACTGCTGATTGATGAATAAGACTTTGGACAGCTTGCTTGCCTTGCCTGGGCCAAGATTTCATATGTGCGGGGGGTTGGGGGTCCTCAGGTCTCAATTGTTGTTGTCATATAGTTGTCCTGATGGCTGACATGGTCAAGGACTAGGTCTCATGGTGTCCCTTTTCCTTCTTCTTCCTAACCAGCCAAGGTAACAGCAAATGCCATCAGTTCTTAGTTTATTTTCCTGCTCTGGTCATTTATGTGGCCAACACCTTGCAGCTAGTAATTCTTCCACACTTCTTCTCCTGAACTTGCCTAGAAGGTCCCAAGGGTTGGTGTTCTTTCCCTAGGACTATCCCAGGGCCTGCAGCTCTCCCTGGAGTGGTCTCTCTTGTCCCCATCTCTGTACAGTGCCCGCCTGAGCCACATGCGAACCCAGATTGAGGTGAATACACTGAGGTCCTGGGAATCCCAAGAAAGTAACAAATCTTATCTCTCCACACCTATAATGTAGGAAATGAGGTCTTCTAGAGCTTTCGATGGTTTAAAATCCTTTCAGAGGCACCATGAAAAAGTGCTCAGGAAAGCTGTTGGTCACATCCTTTAGGATATCAGGGAGCACTCTGGGAGGAGGCTATCAGAATGTCCACGGACAACCATGGAACGTTTCTAGAAGGTTTGATTTCATACCCCTGCCCTAGAGAAGAAGCCAGGTTCCACAAGAGTGGAGTAACAGCACACATGGATCCGGCAGGGCTCACAAAGGAAGAACGGGGCTGATTTGGACAAGGCGAGCTACTCGGGAGCAGAGCAGAGGCCTGGATCTGAGGGAGCCTTACAAGGCAGAGTGGAGGCCTTGGAGGGGCACTTGGAAACAGTATCCTGCAGCTGTTAGGAGGACGCCGTTCTGAAGCTTCAGAATTCAAATTTAGGATAAAAGGGATGTAAACAGCAAGTGGCTCTGAACATAACAGTCCCCACCCGTTCGTGCCAGGTGCCCCTGATCGGCCCTCTTTGAACCCCCTTGTCCTTATTCTCTGTACCTACTTATTCTCTGTAGCCTCCTTGCTAGAATGCAAACCCGCGAATGTAGGGCCTTTTGGACACAGATATAACCCAGGGGACCAAAGAAGGGTCTACCCACAGAAGGAGACTGTGAGCATGCAGAGATGAGGGGGTTCTGGCTCCCCAGAATAGATGAAATGTACATTTCCTGCAAGGGAGGGGCACTCACCTGGGAAAGCTAAGAAAGAATGGTAGATGGATTTAAACATGAAAAATACGTGTAAGGACTTGACAGTGAATAAGAGACTTGGTGAGAGGACAATAGCCATGTCCCAGAGAAGCCTGAGGTGCTGGCTTACAGGTAAATAGCCATCATGGATAGCTTCTGGATAAAACATGTGTCTGGGAATCTGTGCCTGTGATGATAGTATGTGTGTAGAGAAATCTGGGAAGGCTTGGGGCAAGATGTAGGGATGCAGAGCTCCTGAATTTTCCTATGGGACCCTACAAAAATTCTGGCTCTGGCCTTGCAGCAGCTCATCACCTAAAGGCAGATAAATGTGAGTAGGGTGTTCTTTCTTATCTTGCTGCTGCCCTACTGGCTGTTGTCCTACTGGCTGCTGACAGCATGCGTGGCCACAGGCCTGCCAAACTGATCATATGGTTGTTGATGGCTTGCACTTTCTCTGATGGCTGTACCTGCTGGTCACCTCCACACGTCCAAATAACAGCAGCTGAGGAAAGGGACATTCTTGGTGCGTGCATGCTATAAGTTACGGGCATGCCAAGGAAATGGTCTAGTTAGAGGCAGGGGCTTTGAGAGGATGTGATTTGCTTGGGTGCTGTAGTTTTTTTACTTTCTAGATCTTTGCAGTTGACACTGGGCTTTTGGATAGATACTGTTACGTGAGCACACATTTTACATAGAAAACTGTATACAGAAATAGAGATGTCATGGCAGGGTGACAGCTGTAAAAGAACCACAGAGGGACTCCTAGGACTGCAATGCCACCATGGGAAGCAGCCTGCTGTCCTTCCCCGTGTTTTCCCACTGTGCAGACCTCTGCGCTGATCTCTGCATGAGCCTGCGCTACTGCCCACAGACAGGTGGCAGAGCGTCTGCCTTGTCTTTCTTTTCGCTGCTCTCCCTGCAGGGCCCTCAGGGCAGCGCAGTGCATGGCACAGACGCTAAGCATAGAGTCTGGCCTTTAAGTTCTGAGACTTAAATAACAACAGTAATATAACTTAGGGTCCACACAGACTGCATGCTAGGAATCTACCCAGAAAGGAGGTTAGTGGCAGTTTTGGAAGACTGCCTTTGTTATTAAATAACTAACTGGAAGGAGTCAAGCCTAAGGGTTTCTATGCATGTGTATGGGTGCACGCACCCACCCACGCACCCCCCCCCACACTGACACGAAGACACGCTTAAGGTCTCAGAGACAGAGGGGCAGTTGAGGCTGGAGCTGTAGGATAAGCAAGGGAATATGCAATAGGCGAGGGGTCAAAGGAATGGATGTATGGAGAATGTAAAATCCTCCTTCCTAAGTCCGTGGCTACACAGAGGAGAATCAAATCAGCGAGAGAACATGTCAGTTCAAAGTCTTAGGAACGAGCCAGGCTGCGTGGAGTGGGTGGGATGTGTGGAGGGCAGAAAGGGGATCCCAAATGTCTAAGATCAAATCCCAGAATTGGGTCCTCTGTGTTCTTATTCAGTGGTTCTGTCCATCAAAGGTTTATGCAAACATTTTCAAGTCTCTCATGGAGAAATAATGACAAAAACTAAACAATAAATGTTAAGGACTAACTGCAAGAGGACTTGCTTATAGATAAAGAGAGGATACTTAAACATGCCAGTAACAAGAAGACATGTGCAAGAACTGTATAGAAGGAGGCAGCTCTGGGGAGGAGAGGGTGACATGGCTGTGGCTGTGGGCCCTGCCTGAGGCCTGTGAGCCAGGGGCAGGTTATGAAGGGCAAGGGGAGAGCAGGTGGGTGCACAGTCCACTCTCTGTGGTGAGTTCACATGGGTATGAGGCTCTTACGTGGATCCTGTTTCTGTGGCATGGGAAGACAGAACCCACCCAACAAGGCTCTCAGCAAATCACCTGGCTACCAGGCTCTTCACTGTTTCTAGAGAAGGGAGGACAAACAGATCCCAAATATGTCCAGTACATTTCTCTCTCAAAGTGTCCAGCATGGGCTACTGATGTTTAGACAAAGCAGACACAGTCTATTCAATGTGAAGACAATCAGGTAGTTCTTGGGAGAGAGGAGGCCATGGCTGACAACGCAGGCAAATTCCTAGCCTCAACTCTGGGTGTTGTTTTGAGAGCACACCGATTTAGGATGTAATAGGGATAGAAAACCAACAGGGGAAGAGGCGGTGTCTGGGGATGAAGTTTTAGGTTAGAAAAGGTTTGGGTCCCAACTCCAGTGGTTTTCCAGAACTTGTAACGAACCCTTCATTTTCTCACTCCATAATTCACATAGCTGCACCCTCCTATACAGTGTGAGTCATGCCAGGCTGATTATAAAGGGAGAGAGAAAAAAGATGCAGCAGCAACCAACACTTAAAAGGAAGTCTTAGTGCGTTCCAAAGATAAAAAAAAAAAAAAATTTAAAAAGAAATCTCCAAACAAAGCAACAAGGAAAAAAACAAAACAACAACAACAAAAAAAAACCAAACAACATTTGAACCAATTTAAACAGATAAAAAAAAAAAAAAAAAAAAAAAAAAAAAAAAAAAAAAAAAAAAAAACAAAGAATAAGGAGGTGGGGCACAGGAAGTAAAAAAAATGAAAGACAAAAATAAAGCGGGGAGAAACAAACGGATGTTAGAGCAGGCGGGGTGAGCTGGGTCACAGACGCCATGTACTTACGTGTACCTCGGTGATTGCTATATCAACAATGCTACCCACAACAATCAAGGCGTCAAATGTATTCCATGCATCACAGAAATAGTGCTGCATGGGGCGGAAAAGCCAGGAAAGAGAGAAGGGGACAAACCAACAAAAGAGGAGAAAACAAAACAAAGGGAGGAGGGAAAAATGAAAAAAAAAAAAGAGGCATGAAAGAAAGGAGAGAAGAGAAAAAAAATGAGAAAAGAAAGAGGTTACGTGGGTATATTAGATACTCTTACCGCTCTACAGTTGTGGCGGCTCAAACCTGAGCAACCTGGTTTTCGCAGGATGGAGAGGCCTGACAAAAGCTAGGTTAGTTCCGAGGTGGGTGGGCGACAGACAGCCACCCGGAAGGAAGGCAGCCAGTGCTGGCCCGACCAATGTGCAGCCTGTTCCCTCCGCTCAGCTCTGCGCCCTTGGGCCCAGCGTAGCCAGGACAAGTGGGAAAAAAAGGAGAACAGATTTCTGCTTTTTTTCCCCCACAAGACGACGGCAGGTTCAATAAAAAGCATGACTGGAGGTGGGTAAAAAAAAAAAAAAATCAGAAATTAAAAATAAAAATAAAAATAAAAAGAGGTAAACGAAGAGTGAGTGAGAGAGAAAGAGAAAGTGGAGGAGGCGGAAGTGGTGGAAGGACTAGGGTCCTCGGGGAGGGCAGAGTGATACTCACATTAGTTTCACTGAGAATGACATCAATTATGCTCCCAATCACGATGAGGAAGTCAAAAACATTCCAGGGATCACTAAAGTAACCCTACATGAGGGAGGGGCAGGCAGGATGGGGATTAAAAAGGAATATTAGACAGACAAGAACAGAGCAACATCACCATTAGAATCACTGTCCTGGCACTTGAGTGTGGTTGGGAGTTCCAAACGTCAGCGTCTGGCCAGGAGCCTGGAGCCTGGGTTGGGTTAGGAGTAACAGGGGGTATTCAGGTCAGCCTTCCTGACCTCCCTTTCATGGTTTACATGGTCCACATCTTCTCCGCCTCCTCCACAGAGGACCCTTCTACTTCCTCAGGAGAGAAGTAGCCAAGGGTCTAGGGAGTATGAATAAGACACAGTGGCATAGGGCGTGGCTGGACTCTACTTTTTATGTGTCATCTCCTATGGTATGGTATGGTATGGCATGGTATAGTCTATAGTATATGGTACATTATATATAAGCATATACTATATGACCTATACCCTCAGTTTTCTCTATTAGAAGGACCTATCAGGAGGGAGAGAAGTCAGTGGCTGGTGCCTTTTAGTTGATTGGACTGGAATCAAAGCTCAGAGAAAACCAAAAGACCGAACCACTCAAGCAGTGTCTGCAGTAGGCTGGACTCTGCGTAGGTGGAATCAGGGTTAGCCTCTTTCCTGTATGGGATGTGGCTATACATCTCAGGGCAAGCCTGCCTTGCAAAGGCTTTCCTAACAGGATAGAAGTGTCTCTGGGTCTCGGAAGCCTCTCCAGACAGTACCCTCAGTGCTGTCTCTTAAGTACCGTGCAAGGCTCCTTGATATAAAAAGTCTCAGGAAGATGAAAATGCTGCTGAAGTGAGGGGAGTTCTCATCGACTTCCCTGGGCACAGGTTTGGGGAGGTGGGAATGGTTGGTGGGCAGGACTACTGCCTTCTTAGAAAGGGGATAAAAGCAGCAGAGGCTTGGAGAAGAGAGGGAAAGACCAGGGTCCCAACTTTACTACTGTTGCCTGGGTTTCATCAACTTTCCACTTACTCAGAAGAGGAAAGGGATGAGAATCAACAGATGACCTCCCGAAGTACTTTTGAAGTACGTGGACAACTCTGTGGCCAGATGTCCAGAATGCCCCGAGGGCTGGGAACTGCTGGGTAGGCAGCTGCCTTACACAGAGCAGGTGGCATTCTCAGGTCCTGAGAGGTGAGGCAACTTAAAGGGCCATGTCTCAGAGCACAGAGCCACAGCCTGGGAACCCCCCAAGAGCAGTAAGTACAGTCACACAGCCCTTGGTGGAAGGAGAGCTGTCTTCTTTAACGATGACATTTGCTCCTTTTGTTTTCCAGGGATCGCTCTCACCGGTGTCTGGAGTTTGGCAAGAGGCTTTGGTTGCTGGGAGAGGGCTCAAGGAGCTCCTTGGCTCTTTGCTTTCTCAAAGGCTGCCAGCCCTCTTTTGCACTTTTTATGCACAGGAGCCAAGCTTATGCTGTACCATCCTCCTGGCTCTGTCCAGCTCCCTAAGTAGCCTGGCTTCCCAGCCATCTCCTTCTAGAGTAAACGACATGACAGGCTGCCCTAGGGCTATTATTCTTAGAAGAGGAGGTCAGGCCACAAGGGAAGAGGACTGTAAGTTCCCAGGCATTTCTGCCCAAAGAAAATCAACGTTGTCCCAGGAGGCTTGGGGCAGCCAGACTGGGGCCGAGGCTGTTCAGGTTACAGGTCAGGCTAGGGTCAGCCTGGGCAGGGGTTCTATTGCTGGTTCCCTGGAGCAATGCCCTGGGTATTGAGAGAAGTCAGGGACTTTGCTCTTCCAGTTACATCTCATGCTCTAAGCAGAAACAAACAAACAAAACAAAACAGTTTTTATATACCACTCAGGGTAGAAAGGGGGGTGAGTAGGAGTGAATCTCCCAAATGTACCCTACATATGTGTGTGCTTTAGAAACGGGATCTTGGAAAACGCTGGGGACTATCTATAAATGTGAGCTGTTTGTTCAGGAGTAGAGCTAGTTCGGAAGGAAAATCGAAGAGAGGTCAAAGAAGAGAAGGGAGGGAAACAGGACTAAACGTGAGACCGCAGGATGTTCAGCACCAACCTAGAAAATGTGGCGAGCAAACGTTAGTGGGGTACGCAACATGGATCAGGAGGAAAAGAAGGGCGGGGGTCTCAGAATTCACACAAGGAAGGGGAGAGTCGGGATCTCCATCCACCGAAGACCTGAAACAAATCAGTAAATGGGCGGTGGTCCGCAACACCTCTGAGGGAGGAGAGAGAAGGAAGAAAGCAAAAAGCAGGCTACATGGCGAAAAGCAGCTACACACCGTTAGTCTGCTAGCAAGTACCAGGGGAAGGGGCTGAGATTTAAAGGGACTCTGTCAACCTCCAGCTGTGCATCTCTGCTTGCCATTTCTCTTGGACTTATTTTTTTTAGGTGCAAGAGAAAGAAATGATCCTCAGCCGTCACCCTCCCCTGGCCCTGGCCATAGCTGCACCACTGGACTGGCTAGGCCTGTTTGGGATTAATCACGACTCCTGTTCCAGACTGTGTCGCTGGGGCTTTTGATAGACTTTGCCCTCTGGCATATTACCTCGTGGAAACCACTGGGTACAGAAACCAACTACTTCCCTTGTTGCCAAAGGCTCCGGTGGACCAAGTCCTGGCAGACACATGCACATCTGGAATGCAGAGGGGTCAGAGCAACTCCTAGGGTGGACAGTCCCTTTAAGAGGCAGCTTTCACCCTGACCCATTGACCCACATTCCCATCCCTCTTCCCCTTGGCCCATTAGTTCTGGACCTTGAGGATGACTTCAGATCCAGCTTCCAAATCTCTATTCCTCCCCTCCCCTTTTTTCATTCTTCCCACTATTTCAAGAACCATCACCTCCTACTTGCCCCATACCAGAAGCAAAGCCTACACCCACCAATTTGGTAATAAATAGGTTGTCCAAGGGAGACACCTGGCCAAGTCCTTATATGAGGAGCCTGGAAGAATATTTCTTCTATAAGCTCTGGTGTGAGTCAGGTCTTTTCTTTTATATGCATGCATACCTATTTTTTTTTTTCCATGAGCAATGGGGCTTGGGAGTAAAACAGAGAGGAAGGTGGTGGACTCAAACTTCTCTTATAAAGTCAGTTTGACTAGGACCAGCTTATGGTAGCCACCAATCTTTTCAATGGTGAGTGCGTTCCCTATAGTGGGAACATAGAGACTATTGTGCTGGATGTCTTAGAAGTGGCAAACCAAACCTCTGACTGCCCAACCCCTCAGAGCCAGGGAAGGTGGTGCTTGCAGAAAAGATGGTGCGTGTATGGCTAGAAGCTTTCTCTTGCCACCTGAAACATCCCACATGCAGAGTGGACTCCCCTTTCGAATTGCCAGCATCTTGTGATGAGATTAGACTAGGGGCCTCCCCTCTGGCCTAGCCAGGGAAGGTTGGGCATGGCTCCCACTGCCAGAGCCTGATCATCGGTGTTTAACCTCTTCTCACTAGGCGAAGTAATGGACAGCCAATTAACGTCTGCTTCAGAAAAGAATTTTTGGGAAGGAAAAATGACTACAAAAGCTCCATGCTATCTATTTCACATGCACAGGGATTTTGTATTTTCTTCTCTTTCGGATCAGCTCTGCCTTCATTCAGGGATGTCATGGGCGTCCTGCTGTGTTGACAGAGGCAATGGTCCTGACAGTGTGACCTCTGGAGACAGTGGGTTTCAATCCTATCCTGCCACTTGCTAACCGGGCAACTCTCTGTCAGTGTCCTATCACCATGACAATGTACATGTGGGAATCAGTGAGAGAGAAAGTTGGTTTTAGTTCACGGCATTGTTTCTGCTGCTGTGGGTCTCTGGTGAGACAGCGCACAGTGGGAGAAGAGGTCTGACCATCTCATGGTGGCAAAGCAAAGGAAAACACTTCAAAGACACTCCTCCAAGGACCTAACTTCCTCCCCCTAGGGCCCTACTTTGAAACATTCAATTGCACCTCAATAGAGTCAAGATCCAAACAATAGCATCAAGAGTGGGCAAATCACTTACACTCTCTGCACCTGTTTTCCTATGTAGAGACTGGGGCTGACCAGAGTGTTAAGCTGAGGTTTACAAGATACCACACACACAGGGGACTTAGACCTGCACGTAAGCTGGGGGAACTCTAAATTCGTATTAGCTATGGTCAACATTAGCTAGATATAACCTGCCTGCCTCACTGCAAAGTAGCACTCACAGGCCCAGGTGAGTGCCCATGTGGGGCTGAGCAAAGGGAAAATCAGAACCAGGCATCTAGAAGCAAAATATGCAGACTGGGAGTGAAGAAGCCGAAGATTCTTGGGCTTGCCAAGGCCCTTTCTGCTCACCATCTGGTCACTAGTCTTGAGATGCT